TGTGTTGGGGCCCCAGAACAGGTCTCAGTACTCCAGGTGGTGTCTCATAAGAGCAGAGTAGTATGGCAGAATCACCTCCCTTGACTTGCCTGTCGTGCTTCTCTTGATGCAACCCAGGATATGCTTGGCCTTCAGGGCTGCAAGTACACAATGCTGGCTCAGAATCCTAAAAACTGCCCTTAAGCCATTCTCCACCCAACCTGTACCTGTGCTTGGAATTGTCCTGACCCAGGTGCAGGACCTTGCATGTGGCCTTGCTGAATTTTATGGGGTTGACATGGGCCCCCCTCTCCAGCCTGTCCAGGTCCTTCTGGATGTTATGCTTTCCCTCTGCACCACTCAGTTGATGTCATCTGCAAACTTGCTCAGAGTGTACTCGATCCCACTGTCCATGTCACCCACAAAGATGTTATGTAACACCAGTCTCAGCACCGATCCCTGAGGAATGTCATTCATCACAGGTCTCTACTTGTACACTGACAGAGCCATTGACTGCAACTCCCTTAGTGTGGCCATCCAGCCAATTCCCTATCTGGTGGGTGGTCTGTCTATCAAATCCATTTTTCTCCCACTTGGTGACCAGTATGTCATGAGGTACAGTGTTGAATGATTTGCATGACCATCCTTGTGTTCTCATTAATCTGAACAATAGTTTTTATCCATATTTATGATACAGTTCTGCATTACTTTTAGCCTTAGCATTTTTCTAGCATGGAATTATAGTATAAGCATTATTTCCAAACAAGTTGCACAAATAAACATCTGCTGTATACTTTAGATGAAAATTGTAAGTCCAGACTTGGACCCGATTGCTGTGCTTCGTTTTCCCTCTAAGAAGCATTTCAAGTGATGCTGGGTTATTTCCCTGTATGCTTACCTGTGATTTATACATAAATAGTGCCTTGAAGAATCTGCAGACCTGGAGGTAAAGTGAACCTTTTTATTTCAAGAACACTGAAGGACTTAAAGAGAATATTTAAATCTTCATCATGCGAACAGAAGAGCAATTGAAAACACGTATCAGGACAACTTTTTCATGCAACAAGGGACAAGGAAATAGAAACATGATTCTGCAAGGCTTATTCAACACTGAGAAATAACTGTGTAAAAATGACAATCAAACTCCAGAAGATTCTTCTCATTTGTTATATTGATGAACTACATACAAGCTACAGAGAAAGTATTGTCTATGTAGAAGTTGAAAGTTGAAGCTCTAAGTACATTCCTTTTATTAACAGTGATGTTCTTCAACACTTCCTTCATCTCTTATCCTTTCCTTTCCTCCTCCGATGTTAATAAATATGTATTATCTTCAACTTCTGCATCAGGCCATGTTATCAGGATATCCTTGTATCTACAGCAGAACATTTTGTCTTGACAAAGAACTGCAGGATTCATTTATTTGAATATACAGAGTAAGACAAATTTCACCTAAGGTGGCAGATGGCAACAGATGGGGAGGAATGAGAAAAGACATTCCCTGAGATTGCTGTGATACCGAAGAATTACACATTTCAGGGCTGAAAGTAGAAAAGTATTTTCCTTGCTCAATATCCCTAATCTAACTGTTAACAGTTTACTTACCGTAGACAAAACAATGCTCTCCTGTAGCACTGAGGTCTTTAATAGTCTCCAGAAGGCTTGGAAATAGCATAAGTGACTTTTGCATGTTTTCCCACCTTTTAACTCCATAGGAAGCTAGCATGGAAGAAGGATAAGTAGGGAAGCAGAGGTTCATTGTGGAAGAAGTGCATGTAGCACATACGTATGTGTCTAACTGCTGACAGCAGACTAAGGAAAACTCCTTCCAAGGGACAGGGGGGCCATGATTAGAGCACTGTACAGCTCCTGCAAGTGAGCAGAATTCAGTACCAGAGAGATATTGAAGCTCTTAATTCACTCAGGACATAGAGTGGGTCAGGTTTATGTAACCAGCCAGCTTCAATAAATCTCCCCAAAATGCTGACCCCTCTATCAGAGCTGTTTCATATGTGTTCATGAAACCACTAGTTTTCACAAGTTCCATGTAAATAGAAATGAAATGTAAACATGATCATGGGAGCTTCTAGCTTGCTAATATTTCCAACACCGTTTCACAACAGGCTGGTAGAAAGCTTAGCTTTGACAGAAGGCCTGAAGCATTCTTATTGCCAGGTGCTTAAAATGTGCTGGCAATTGTCAGATCATGGTTCTCATGAGAACTGTAACTTGCTGTGCAAAACTTATGCAAAGTGATTACATTTGAAGTGATTATAGCAAAAAGTAATTAAGCAAAATGAGAACAGCATATAGCATCGTTTAACTTCTTTCTCTAACAGATGTGTGAGGAGCAGTTGAGGTCCCCTTGTTGGCTCAGCGCAGAGCAGAGGAGCTGAGGAGAGGCCTCATGATGGCTGCAGCTCCTCACAGGGAGCGGAGGGGCAGCGCTGAGCTCTGCTCTGCGTGACAGCGACATGCCAGAGGGACTGGCATGGAACCTGAAAGAAGGCTGTAAAGAGGTGGGATTGACCTCTTCACCCAATTAGCAGCAATAGAACGAGAGGGAATGGCCTCAGATTGCACCAGGGGAGGTTCAGGTTGGATATTATGGAGTATTTCATCTCATAAAGAGCAGTGAGGCAATGGCACAGGCTGCTAAGCAGGTGGTGGTGTCACCATGCCTGGAGGTGCTCAAAAACCAAGTGGATGTGGCACTGAGGGACATGGTCACTGGGGGTGGGCTGATGGTGGACCAGATGGTCTCAGTGGTCTTTTCCAAGCTGAATGATTCTATGATTCTACTGGTACAGAGGTATGTGATGTAACTGGGCTACTTACTAATCGTATCTCTCTATGCTGAATTGCAGACGTTTCCTACCTTTCATAGTTGTTGTTTTTAGCACTTTGAGAAACTTCTGTGTGACAGCCACTCTGCAGCAGTGATTCCAGTGACAAAATCTAAGGTATTTCTATGTTCTGAACTCACAATTGCAGGGGTTTTGCAAGTTCAGTTGCAGAGTCAGAGGTTATGTTAAAATAGCTGACAATTTCAAGATCATCATTTTTCAGTGTAATAACTGATTCCTAAAGTTTGCCTCATTTTATTCATTCATAAGTAAAATGATATTTTTTGTTGTACTATATTAAAACTACTAGTTTTCTTGTGCTAAATTGTAAAGATAGTTACATGTTTAGCGGAGAACTGAATAACTGTGGAGAGGCACATGGAAATAGAACATTTTCAAGGGGAACATGCTATATTTAAGGAATGTCTTTATAAAATGAGACTTCAGACTTAGTTCAGCAAATATACCGAGCCAGGGTGCTCCCCTGCATGTACTAACGTCAAGTACATATGTATACACATTCAAGAATTGCACAAGATATTTGTGTACCTAAAATTGATAGATTAGAACAATAGATTAAAGTGCACATCATTTTAAATACGCTGTAACATTTAATTTGCTTTTACAAAATACATTTCATTAGGTGTGGAACTGATCATATTCTGCTTTCATATTCATGTAGATATTTTACTGTTTCAAACGGCCACTGCTTTATGTTAATGAAAACCTGCACACAAATAGACATCAATTTGACTGCCTCCTTCCAAAAGTGGATCCTCTTAGAGGCATTCATCTAATAAAAAAGTTTAGATTTCAGATCATTGAAGTATTTTGTTTCTTTTCATATTCAAATACATGGATCTGGCTCATTTTGTCTCTTAAGCAACACATGAATCGCAGAGATTGAAATTGTACTTGAATAAGAAATTTCAATAAGTTCCATTGATTTCAATTGACTTTTACCAACCTAAATGAAAGATCAAATCTCCTGCATTTAGGCACTTGAAAATGAGAATGTATTTTATATCAGTTAAATTTTCTTAAGGGTATTTTCAATCTATAACAATATCTAGCCATGAAACTCTATTGAGTATCACATACTCTACTTTTTCTGGGAGATTTCCAGAGGACAGTGTTTGTTTTCAAATACACTACAAATATTGTGGAAGAAAGTGAGCTAGTATTTCATATTATATAGAGAAACAGAATACAAATGTGTTGGAAAAAAACATTTGAAAAATCATGCGAAGTACAGTATATCTTAGAACAACTGTGTTACTTTACATTCATTATACACTGAAACAAACACAATTTTAATTTCTTCATCTTCAACATTTGTATGTATACTGAATAAATAACAAAAGCTCAAGCTTTGTAAGGTAGAAGCTGATCTTTTCTCAGATATTTTCCTTTCCCAAAGTATAACAAATGTCATTAGGTACAATGTGACACATCATGCTATAAAGCAGCCATGAAGATAAGATGTCTAAAATAATGCATTTCCAACATTGTTTTCTGTAAAGACCCCTCACTTTCCCTGCAACATGGGGTTTAAAGACACACTGATTTCACCATGACAATAAATATACAAAGCTTAGTGATTATCTCTTGGAGATAGTTATATAATTAATAACTCCCAGTTATTAATTAATTTTATTTTTAATTCATTTTAATTAATGAACTCCCAGTGCTTGGCATGATGTTATGATGTGGAATACTGATAACAAAAAATCATAAAACCATGGCATATATAATAGATTATGATAAGAATAGTATTAGCATTTAAGAAAGAAAACATGTACAAAGTGAATAAAAAGCTTAAAGGATTGTAAGAAATCATTACACTGCCTTATTGTGAAAAATATTGTGAATAATTAAGTAATATACATTTTTTTCCCAGGGTTTAAATATAGCAAAAGACTTCAGAACAAGTTGTAAATAATCACTGGTACAATTAATTTCATCATACTAAATACTCACGGGATGTTATGGCTGCAGTTGGGAACACCTGGCTACAAAATTGAAGTTTGCTCCTTATACAATCATCATCATTTCTTACATAGGATTTCAAACAGCCTCGTCACATATTTATTGTTTACTCTAGCATATGATTTTGCTATCCACCTTAGCATTAAAAAAAAATAAAAATGCAAGGAGCTTCTACATTCATTTTGTTTTGTAATTGTTTAACTACATGTATGTACAGTGCTTTCATTTGAGAGGAATTACATCATCCTGTTGCCTATTTTTTTTTTGTATGAAACAGTATTGCCTTATTAATACAATAGAGTCGAATTCAGTGGCATTATTGGAGTGGAAAATTCAGCGTCAGCCAGAGAAATAATCTTTTTTTTTTTTTTTTTTTTTTTTTTTGGCTTCAGTGTACACTGAAATTAGTGTTTTTGGTTACAGATGTGTCACAAAGCATATTAAAAAAGCAAGTCTGATGAAACTTTTTCTTTGCCTTCCAAAATAAATAATAACCTGTCAGCAAACTCAGACCTTGTAGTCAGGCATTTTGTTGTCAAGGGAATCAGTGCCTGTTCCCTGTTTTTCTGCCCAAATTAGCCATGTTTCTGGCACAAATCCCTGCACAACTCTCCAGTTCCTCAAGGGTTAGGCACAGTTCACATTATTTAACAGTTTTTACATGTAACATCCTCTAGCTTACAGTGGATATACCAAAGCCATGGTAGAGACACTGACTAAAAGGGGTATGTTTTAGCCAGGAAATTGAATTTTGGAGTGGCCAATGATTTTAACACATCTCTGAGACACAAGTTTTACTGACACACTCAGAAATCAGACAGGGCATTATAAACATGTTCTTACTGCAGGCCTTCTCCACTCCTTTATCCTTACAATTTCAAACCGATGATGTCCTATTACTGACTATCATGTCACTAGGTTTAAAATTATTTACAGTTAAGAAAAAATGCAATTTTCTCATGAAATCATAATTTCGCCATGTTAACTTTTTACTTGTATAAACTTGTATTTACATTGTAATTTTTTATTCAAATAATTTTTAGAAAGCAATTTTTAAAAGGGAGAAACATAATTTTTGTAGCTTCAAGATCACTGAATATGTTACAAACTCAAGTGTGGTCTGATAGTGACTTAATAACTTGAGTGATTGGAATCTGAAAAAAAAAAACCAAAAACCCCAAAAGCTAGGTATAACAGTAACATTGTGCTAGAGTGTTTTTCTAATATCAAATCAAACCCAGAAAAGGATGTACTATAGATAAACTCTTTTCCATTTTTTTTTTTCTTGTATATTCTGTGATCCTGACAGTAACTTCAAACTGCTTCTTCATATGAATGACTGGACACAAATGTGATGTGTGCACCAGCATGTCTTCAATATTATTTTACTGATTCCACTTAGATAGCACTGACATGTAAACAGACACTTTCATGTGATCTCACCCTCCATAACTGATCAGTAAGTCTGTGGAAAAAAAGGCGTCCAATAGAGCATCTGTCCAACAGTATTTAACATCTTTGAAAAGCTGGACAGGAGCTAGCAGTGTGCTCTTGCAGTCTGGAAGGCCAACTGCATCCAGAGCTGCACCCACAGAGGGGTGGCCAGCAGGGCAAGGGAGGTGATTATTCCCCTCTACTCTCCCCTTATGAAGCCCCATCTGGATTACTGAGTCCAGGCCTGTGGCACCCAGCACAGGAAGGATGTGGAGCTCTTGGAGTGGGTCCAGTGAAGATGATTACAGAGCTGGAGCACCTCTCTTATGAAGAAAGTTTGAGAGTGGTGAGGCATTGGAACATGTTGCCCAGATCAACCCTGTGGATGCCCCATACTTGGAGGTGTTCAAGGCCAGGTGTTATGGGACTCTGGGTGGCTTGCTCTGGTGGGGAATGGCCCTGCCCACATCAAGGGGTTGGAACTAGATGACCTATAAGGACTCTTCCAGCCTAACCCATTCTATGCCTACATGATCTTCAGCAAAGACCAAACCAAGGGTGCAGAATGCAAGCCACAGATGACGTCAAACCTGGGGGGATAGCAGATACTTTGGAGTGCTAAGTTTTCTTTTGGAAGAACCTGGTGAGCCAGAGAATGGACAACAGTTATCAAATTAAAAAATTTCAACAAAGGCACAACCAAAATCAAGCTGAATGCAATTCTGTAGAAAAAGATGGGGTAAAGGAAGGTGATTTGTCCCCTCTACTCAATACTCATGGGAAAGCACTTGAAACATGCTGTCCTGTTTGGAACATCCCAGTGCATGAGAGGGATGGCCAAGCTGGAGCAAGTCCAGTGGAAGACCAGGGACTTTGCATCTTATTTTTTCAGCTTGGAGAAGACAGGGAGAAACTCTAATTTGTCATCTACAATTATGCATGTTTGGTTAGAGTGAAGAGTATTCTCAAGGGTTGGTGAGAGGACAAAGGGAAATGGTTGCAAGCTACATCAAGGGAAATCCCAGCTATGACTGATGAGCTGCTGAATTGTGTCCTTGGAAATCTCAAAACATACCTAGACAAGAAGCGATACAGATGTGAGGGCAGCCCTGCCTTGAGAGGATCCCAAGATTTTCCTTCAACTTAATTTGCTCTATGACTCTATGGGTCATGAACGTAAATGTTAAAAGCATATGATACTCCAGCTAATAATATGTCCTCAAAGTGCTGAGGCCCTCCCACTTTTTATTTGTGATTTGTATTACACACTTTGTACTGATATAAATGTATCCTTCCAAAATTTACCATTTTAGAGTTACACTGTATCAAACCTCCATTAGAACTTTTAAAGGATTGCTGTTTTAAGCACTTATATGTTTCTTGGATTTTCTTTATGGAACATAAGATTTTAAAATATATATTGATATTGTATATTTAAAATTGTATTTCCATCTCAGACTCAGCAAAGTTAGCAAAACACACACACACACATAACACACATGCAGCAGCTAAAGAAAAGCTTTCCTCAGACAAATTTTCATTTTGATAGAACTTCACACAGGCCATAAACAAAACCTTATATAGCGTACACAAAAGTTCTGTGTGTGCAGTAAGGCAGGCATACAAAGCGGTAAAAAGTACATCATCATTCACCACGTTACATTAAAAAGATAGCTGAACAGATAAAATCAGTGTTGCCTCTCTAAAGCAATTGTCTCAAATTGTACGTGGGTTATTTCAACTCCAAGTCAGATCCCATCTTTGCTTTAAAAAGGCAAAAGACATTGTCAAAACAACCTGAACGGAGAATGAAACTTTTCCTCTCTGAAATTGTAGTACCACCACAGTGTTTATTATCTGTAAGTCAGAAAATTTAGCCATCTCTTTGCTTCTATGGAGTAAGATGTGAGAAAGTTCAGCGTTTTATCCATATCAACGAATACTTCTTGTATATTACACTTGAATGCTTATACACATGATGCTTAATGAATAGGAACACACACAAATCATCACCATTGTTTTGTTTCTGAATTATCTTTCAAAGGTCAGGAGCTTCATTTGGCAAAGGTACAATACAAAGGACCAGCCTGGTTTTCCTTCATATCAGTTTCATGAATGTTTGCTACAAATGCAACTTCATTACCTTAAATACCTATTAGCTTTATCAAGAAAAAGCTGTGATAAAGCTCATTGTGCTTTGTTTTCCAGAAGTTTCGTTCATTCATACAGCTGAAGAGCCAGCAAACAGGACTTTCTAAAGTTCACACATGTGTACTGTTGGTAGATGGTGGTGTATCTATCCGACTCTTATTTTCTTTAGCATCATTCAGAGGTGATTCGTTACCTATCTGGCATTTGAAAACTTGTTTGTAGGCCTTTCTAAAATTTTCAGAGAGAAATGCATATATAATTGGGTTTACAGAAGAATTGCTGTAAGCTAGGCAGTGTGCAGCTACCCTGAAGAGAAATGAGGCTTGAGTCAGTGGGAAAACTCCAAATTCAGCCCAGAGATGAATCACATGATGCGGAAGCCAGGAGATGCCAAAAACCACTACCACCACCAACACAGTCTGTGCTGTCTGAGACAGGGAAAGGAAAACACAGATGTCTTATGAGTATTAAAAACAAGCTTATTATATCATTATCTGTAATAATAATAATAATAATAATAATAATAATGATAAAAAGTAGACAGATAGAATACACTTCTGAATATTTATTAATATTTTAATTCATTACCTACGTGGACTTTGTTCTGTAGTATTGCAAGAAGAACATGAGCTTCCACAGTAGAAGAGAAACTCTTCTACTCGTTTCTTAAAGGCAAAGAATGATGTTCCTCACTCCCTAAACAAAGTGCTAACCTCTTCTGGGACTCAGGATTGATGCAATAAATTAATAACATAGGTCTCTGGGAAATCTCATCCAGATCTAATGAATCATGTTTTAATACAGTACACAGGATTTCTGACCAGATTTCAAGGGAGATCTATTGTACATGGAGGCATGTAGTGAAAGAGATAAGAGCAATGAGATTAACCCTTTGCTCAAGAGTCTAAAGGCAGGAGCAGAAGTTGCTGTATTTTTTAAAGTCTACTCTTTAAGCATAAAACGTCCATTGGAATCATCCAACAATATTCTGGGATACAACTAGGAAAAAAAGAAGAAGAACAAGATTTCTGGTAACTATATATTGAATGTAAGGAGTGAAATAACCATTATTCTACCTCCTGACTCCACTTTCAGTATTCTCACAAGAAAGGGCCATTAAGTTTGTTAGATCCCCTCTGAGAGTTGGAGTATCAGTCACCGGATCAATCACCTTTCGGTTACTGCTGATATTTTTCCAGGCACGGTGGAGTTTTTTTGACAATGTTTTCTTTAGTTTTAACTTTCTTCCAAAACTGCAATTACTGCTTTGCAGGCAATGAACAAAATGCATTTCTCTAGCAAGTGCCACTTTTCCATTGAGAGCCTAGTAGTAATTCCAATGCATAGTATGTTACGGACCATTATAATTACTCTATTAACACTTTACAACATAATTCTTCAGATAATTTTAGCTCTTACTCACAGGCAGAACTAACTGATGAAGTGATACATGCTGCAGTGCAGACTTTTTGCTGATTTATTGATCCTGGTTCATACTTTCTTGAATTGATTGATGCTCAGTAATAATTCACTAACTTGGTTAATTTTCATGTGCCTTAATTTGTAGAAACTTGCAGGGAAAAGTTTAATTCCTGCAGCAATAGCCTGAAATAACTTATGACAAATGTTGTTTCTGGCTACCAAAATTTCTAGTAAATATAAATTTTTCAGTCTCAAGGGTTCAAATTTATTCACAAGCCTTTTTTTCTATTTAACCCTATTAACATTAATTCAGTTGATGCTAAAGCAGCGAGACAAATATTTCCTCTTTCAGCTCTCATCAGGAAAGCTGTCTTCCTCGTGCTAACAAGGAAGAATAAATAAAGAACAATTGATTCTCTGATTCCTTTAGAGCATTAATATTCCAGCTGCAAATGTGCTGTCTGGTTATTGCACACACGGTTAATTCTTAAAAGAAGTGTTACCTCAGTTTGTCCTTTCGACACCAGGAAAATCACTGACTTTCAATAGACTGTATAAATGCAACTGAAAGCTGAGGTTGACCATGTATCTCTTGTAACTATTATACTAAGGTATTTCATATCTGCAAAGTAAGTAATTTTTCGTAACGGTCCTCACAGCATCTGTCTTATCCCATTATTCATCCTAAGACTCACTTCAGAGCTTACCTTTCCAGTATCATCACTATAATTTGCAACCAAGGTAACACTAAAGGGCAGCTCTTTTTTAAGTAATGGTATCACGCTTAGGGTTTTTCATCAACAAATAAAAAAAACTTGAAATGCACATTGATGTTTCCTGGCCAAAAAGCATAAAGAACAGCATTTAGGCACATTTTTATTTCAAATTCACTTTTTAAATTCACACATTATAAATTAAGATTCTGCTACTAAGAATCAATTTTGTGGGTTTAAGCAAACTTGACTGAATGATATCCATGGGCTTTGAAGGGATATACCTACAAGTACTCAGGGGCCTGGCAGAAGTGATTGCCAAGCTGCTCTCTATGATCTTTGAAAGATGATGGAGAATGAGAGAGGTTTTTGAGAACTGGAAGAAAACCCAATGTCACTGCAGTCTTCAAAAGGGACTTGATGGAGGACCCAGAAAATTATAGGCCAGTCAACCTCAACTCTGTCCCCAGGAAGATGATGGAACATCTTCTTCTGGATGTCTTCTCCAAGAAAATGGAAGAGAAAAAGGTTATAAGGATTAGCCAGCATGGATTCACCAAGTGAAAATCATGCTAGACCGATCTGGTAGCCTCTAAGAACTCATGACTGACTGGATAGGTGTGGGGATAGCAGTGCACGTTGTGTACCTTGACTTCAGCAAGGCGTTTGATGCTGCCTCCTGTAATATCTTCATAGGTAAACTCAGAAAGTGTGGGACAGTCAAGTAGATGGTGAGGTGAATTGAGAACTGGCTGACAGGCAGAGCTTAGAGGGTTGTGATCAGCAGTACAGAGTCTAATTGGAGGCCTGTAGATAGTGATGTTTTCCAGGGGTTAGTACTGGGTCTGGTCTTGTTCAACATTTTTATGAGTGACCTGGTTGAAGAGAAAGAGTGCATCCTCATCAAATTTGCTGGTAATACAAAGCTGTGAGGTGTGACTGACTCACCAGAAAGCTGTGCTGCCATTCAGTGAAACCTGGACAGGATGGAAACCAGGTAAGGTTCAACAAGGGCAAGTGTAGAGTCCTAAATGGGAGGAATAACCTCTTGCATCAGTATAGGTTAGAGGCTGAACTGCTGGGAAGAAACTCTGTGGAGAAGGACTTGAGTGTCTTGGTGGGCAACAGGTTGGCCATGAGCCAGCAGTTTGCCCTTGTAGCCAAGGAGGAGAATGGTATCCTGGGTGCTTTAAAAAGAGCATAGCTAGCCAGAAGAGGGAGGTGATACTCCCTTTATACCCTACCTTAGTGAGGACACATCTGGACTGCTGTGTCAAGTTCTGGGCTCTCCAGTTCAAGAAAAGTGGGAACTTCCAGAGAGAGCCTCGCAGAGGGCTGCAAAAACTATTAGGGGCCTGGAACATTTCCTATTTGAGGAAGGGCTAAGAGAGCTGGGTCTGTTCAGCCTGGAGGAGAGAAGACTAAGGAGGGATCTTATCAATGCTTATAAAAATCTAATGGATAGAAGCCAAGCGGATGGGGCCAGGTTCTTTTCAGTGGTGCCCAGCAATAGGAGAAGGGGCAATGGGCACAAATTGGAACTCTGGAAATTCCATAAGAACATGAGGTAAAACTTCTTTACTTGGAGAGTGACAAAGCATGGAACAGGCTGCCCAGAGAGGTTGTGGAGTCCCCAAGGGTCCCTTCCTACCCATATGATTCTGTGATTCTGTGATACTAAAATTTTATAAAGCTCTGAATAAAGCTGTAGAACTTGGCCTTAAATGCATTATTCTTAACAAAACTGCAAGGAAAAGAGAAACAGTAACCAGAAAGATAAATACTAATGAAAACAGCATTGTTTTGAAATCATGAGCTAAGTAAGGCCTTGGGATCAGAAAGTTCTAAGTAAAAAAATTTTCCACTTCATTTTGTTTGCCTTTCCATTACTAAACCCTGAGACACCTGAATAGTCTTGAACATCCATATAATGCTTTCCCCTGAAACTAAGAAAGCAAGTTCATAACTAGATATGATTTTTATTTGCATAAAGGGCTTGTACCTAGATGAGATGCAGATATTTCTAGTTTGAAAATAACATACATAAAAGCAGGGATGGCAACATAGAGAATGCCTTTTGAAACAACACCTTTGGCCTTGATGAGATTAAGCGCAAATTATTTATGTTAAGTATTTTACTGCATCAAAGACATAATGCTTTTAATTTAGAAATTGAGATCTGTTGACTAAGATATATATTTTTTTTAAATAGAGAATGCATAAGTAATAGATTATTTATTCCCCGTTGTGCCCATGTATATCTCATTTACATTGCAGACAGTCTGCATGCCCATATGGTAATAGCAATCAGATCAAACAAAGAGCTATAGCCTAAGGCTTGTTTCTGACTCCACATTCGTAAACTGAGAAGTTAGTCAAATTATTACTGTGGTCAAATCTGCTCAAAAATCAGAACCATATTATATTATCTGACAAAATATCTGCATAAACACATCTTTCAAGTATTGCTCTAAATTGCAAAGCTAATACTATGCTTCAAAGACCCTTCACAATTCCACTTGTAGGCAGTATATAACTGAAGTCTTAAACATAGAAGAAAAGATGTTTTATGGAAAATCATAAAATCACAAAAGTCTCTTTTTAGACTACTATCAGGAATTGTAATGAATCTCATTTGGAAGTCTTGTCATATAACCTAGGAATCCTTCATAAACTGCTAAAAATATTCAGTTAGTTAGAAAAGAAAAAAAAGAGAGAGAGAGAGAGAGAAAGAAAGAGAGAGAGAGATGTACAATTTAGTGAAAAAAATTCTAGTGAGGGAATAGAAACATTTACATTAGAGAGAGGTAGTCTCTCCATGACTGAATTTCACATGCTCCAGTGTTCAAAATATGGGGATTTCAAGTAATGGCTTGACCACTGTGATAGAAAATCCTGATCAGGGAAGACTCTTATCCTGCAGAGGCACTGAATATATCATCAAATACTCCATTTCAAATATTTTTCTCCATTACGTCTTTGGCAACAAGCAACAGAATAGCAAATCATCTTACCCATAAAACTACAATATAAACAAATAGGAATTGGTAATGAAAGCAATCTACCTTTTTCTTTGATGCTTCTGACTTCTTTGATATATTTCTCAGCTTTTTGTGCAGATGATTAAGAACCTGAAAAGATCAATTTTCAACTTGTATTTCACCATTTTCTAAAATTCAAAACCATTTTGTTAGAGTACGATCTCCAGGACTGCATGAGTTGCTTACAAACATCAATGATCCATTTAAACATTTTAGAAATTCATATTATAAAATCCAAAGGAATTACATATCTATATCTGTAGTTAACAAGCAAATAGGAATTACATATGACAATTGAATTCTTCTATCAAAATACAGTTGCATTATATAACAAATACATACTACAATCAAATGAGCCAATAAATTGAAACCTTCCCTACAGCTAGAATTAGCCATTATTCTTTATAAAAATGTCAACGCTTGTTAATTTAGAATGACCTTTACTGCATGTAACATAAGAAGTGTATGTTTTGAGTCAGAGCTTTTCTGAGTCACCTGCATAATTTGCTTTCTTCAGATGGATGTTTAGTTAATATAATCAGGATGTTGGCACTATTTGATCTTTGAAAGATGCTTAGGCTCTTACAGAGAATTTATACTAAGATGTATCTCCCATGAGACATGACCTTTATGAACAATTTGATGATACTTGTCATGTAGCTTTCATAAGTAGTTTTTTAATATACCTCAAAATGATTCATCAAGTGAGAGCAGATTTTCACGTAAGAGTTTGGACAGTGGGTGCATAGAGGAACATCCCTACTTTATCTCCAGTCATTATTAACTGAATGTAAAATATTCATACAGTATGATTTGTGGGTATACAGGGAAGCAGGGTATATGTTCTTCAGCTGAATGCGTTTAACATGATAAATCATACCAAATTAAAAAATGGAAATACTTAAGTATATTCAAGGGTTTAATTATAATATGGTAAGAATGTGTTTATCTATTTATTAAAACTATTTATATTTTATATATAATTCGTTAATAGTTAATACATAATATAATATATATAATATAATATATATATATATATAATATATTCTATTTATATTAAAAATTATTTAAAAGTCAGAATGTAGAGTCTTCAGTTAGATGGCTGTGATGTCACAGTTACACTTTACATACCTCCAAGGTGAACTGACAACTATTACATAGGTAAGATCATCCAGAATTAAAATAAATATGCATTAAAAAATCTTCTTTTGAAGGAAAAAATATACACTGAAATACCAGCATAATAACATCTGAAATACCAGCCTGGCTGCCACCAGGACAATCTGAACCCAGGAAAGACAGGACAGGAAAACAAATATGTTTTCTCTGAGAAGATCCAGCTTTGGCTGGATGTCAGCCATTATTCCTACTCCAGGATGAAGTAGACCAGATGGAAAATACAGAAGAACCTCTGAAATGCAAGGAGATGCCCCTCTGATTCACACATCCTTTATTCACCATGTACAACAGTGCTGAATTGGTTAATCCATGGGTGTGAAAATAGAAGATCATGGGAGAAATGCTGTTCACTTCTCATCGCTTCTTTTTCATTTATCCTCCCTCTTCACTGGAACAGACTTCCCTGAGCAGTGGTCACTGCCCAAAGCTGCTGGAGCTCCAGAAGCATTTGGATAACACTCTCAGACATAGGGTCTCTTTTTGAGTGGTACTGTTAGCAGCCAGAAATAGGACTCAATGATCCTTATGAGTCCCTTCCAATTTGGGATTTCTATGTTTCTGTGATTCGTGTAACTTAAGTAGATAGGCTTTTTCCACCAGATCCTTTGCAGATCCTGTCTCCTGCCACCCTGAACCTGTACTGTACTGTGATTTTCAATATTAAAGTTAGATGCACTCTTCCAAAAATTCAGAACTGAAAAATCTACTCTTAAAATTATAAACATCAGCTCTCTCATTCTGAAACTTTTGACGCAGCTATTTTGCATTGTAACTTTCTCCAGTCCAAAGAGAGATGGAGTAGACAAATCTATTACTAAAAATTCTGTGTGAGTTGAAGATTTAGATGATAATCTTCCAATTAATCTTTCTCAACTCTCTCTCTTTCAGATTGTGTACATGTGTTATGGAATAAGGATGTGCAGCCTCTGCAGTGAAAACATGCTGGCTCTGCATGGCGTTCTACCAGATGGTATGCAAACCAGCAGCAAGAAGCAGGCAGAATTGAATTACTGATCAACAGCTGTGGAACAGTACTCAGAGACCTACACAGAGAGATGCAGAGGGATATTAAGGGCCATGTTTATGCACGAACACTACAAAGCAAATCAAAGTCACCTCTCCTTACCACACTGTTTGAATTATCTCTTCTCTGGGCCAAGAAATAATTAATTGTTCCTCTAACAGCCACTTCACCTGAATGAATATTAATTCTGCCTATTCCTCTCATTTTGTCTCAGGCTATTCTAAAGAAAATCTCTCACAATATCCACTAATACATTTACATACATATTTAACTCAGGTAATAAAATATAAGCCTTGATAAAAAAAAGTCATAACCTGTTGCATTTATTAAAGGTTACATTTTTAAACAAGTTCAGGTCTGTGGAAAAATTAGCTTTTCACATGAAATTGCTAACTCTGGCTTTCATATACCTGTTGATGAGAGTTCATTTATGGCTCTTGAGGAAAGAACATGTTTTCTGTGCTCTGGAGATGGGTTTGTGCAAGACAGCAGTTATGCTTCTGTGACATAGGGTGTAAGGGTACAAAATTTCCAGGTACAAAAATTCCAGGCTAGTCCAGTCTGCACAGTCAAAATTATCACTGAGAGCATTTGGATGGGAAGCTTGCTTTTGCCTATAGACTATCACATTTTGCTTGCAGCTGTTTCAGAAAGTACCTTCAGATGGCTTTGTAGCACAGACTGAGACACTATAACCAAAAGAATTTGAAAAATGGATTTTTCAAAAAGGGAGGGGAAAAATAGCTTAAGCTATCTGCACCTACTCATATAAGCCTACCAAATAAAACAAAAGTTTGAAATCTGCACTGCTTCCAAGCGTATTTCCTGTCTGTCTGTACATAACTGTTCAACTGACTACACCTTCATTATTTGTTACTTTATCCATTTAAAACCATACAGCAGGAAAGCCTGCCCAAGGTCATTATCTAATAAAAGTGAACTGTTTGTTTAACAAAGCCATAATGTGACCACTACATTCTGAACCACATTTTGTATTATTAACCTTATTTAAATTCAAGTGCCTTTACCTGCAATCCATTTTAAAAGCAGTGCTGCTACTATTATTATCACAACAGATCTTTCACCCTCTTTCATTTAATAGTGTCACTAATGTGTCATAACTTTTGTTTTTCTTTTCAGTGATCTTTCACCCTCTTTCATTTAATAGTGTCACTAATGTGTCATAACTTTTTGTTTTTCTTTTCAGTGAAGTTCAGTCTTCTCCAATAAAGTTTTTCCTCTCTACTCAGTAAAATTTAGGATACAATATCTGTCGCTAAGAACCATGTAAATGTGCTGTAATGTTGAGACTCCTCTTTTTTTTTTTTTTTTTTGTATGGCTTATTTTTAACCAACCTTATAAATCATACATGACTTTCTTGAATTCAGAATGTTCAGAATGATAGATAATAATGGAAACATTCTTCAGGCAAGGAATAAATTAAAAAATAGCTTTTAACATTATACATCTATAAAAGGAAAAGTTTGCTAATGATTTTAGGTGTCCAGCCTAGATGTTTGAAAGAGTTCAAGCCTCATAATTGGGTTCTCAACAGCAGGGGTACCCAAAACCCATTGTCACATTCCGCTGCCTGGACAAGTGCCAACTGGTAAAAGCCCAGTGTGCATGTATTACTTTGCCCCTTAATAACATATTCGTATGTAAATGTATCAATTTATGATACCTGTACTTGAAGGAACAAAAAAAAATGCAGCAAATAAAATATGATAAACTATAAAAGGTAAGAATACAGATTGTCTCTGTGCAGTGCTGTAACTCAACTAACAACCATATAATGACCACTCTGCCTAAAGTTGTGAGCTCCTTTAAAGAGCAGCTCTGAAGGCTCTCCGGGGCCAACGAAGGCTGACTTTCTGAGGATTTGTGATTTCTTGACCGCAAGTTCTCAAGAAGATGACCTCCTCTGTGAGCAGGCACTTCACAAAACCTCTTTCCCATGTGGTATTTCTGGTGTTCAGCAGCTGGGTGCACTCTGACTCTTTAAAGAACAGAGAAGACTGAGATTCTTTGTCTTCTACACTGGCTCCTGTTTTCACAAAACTAAGGAAATATCACGACTTCTCATGTTTTTACTCCTATGTCATATTTAGTTAAAACTGACCCTAAGTTATCTGTGGGAGAGAGGAAATGGAGAGCTCAAAGCACACAGCAGAGCATGAGCTCTGTCTTAAGAGCAGATTATTTGAGATTTCCAGTTCTAGTTCTATGGCATATGCCATTATTTCAGCACTATCTGTGGTTCGTAACAATATTGCTGTCCACTGGGGACAGAACCCCATGAAAATGAATCTCTCCTAACACAATTTAAGAGCAACAGAGAAAGGGAAAGAACTCAGTCCTCTGTTAGAGCATCTAAAAAATGAGACTTTCAGAACTGAAAGTTCAATTGCAATTTGCTTTAAAAGGAAACAACAGAAATGACTTAAAGGAGCCTGGAAAAGACAATATATTCAAATAGAGAAATGTGTCTCCTTCATCTCAATTTACTGCGTCAGAAAATTGTGTTATTTATCTGATCCACAGTTCATGAAAACCAGCAAAGTCCATAAGAAACTAATGTGTTTATCTTTGTAATACTTCTGATGCTATTACAGAGCAGTTCTCTTTTAACCCTGCATGCATTGAGAAGCCAAAATATCTGTTGTACATTACACCATTTTAGGGACATCAATAAGAGCCTATTGCGACCCACTTCAGTGGAGACTCAGGAGAGTAGCAGTGGCTGTGACAAAACTTCAGCTCTGATTTTCAACTTCTATTGTTCTTAATTTCTCCCTCACTGTAACCCATGTGTCACAGAATTGCAGTCAGAGATATGCTCACGGCTCTTAATGAGGGCAGGAACAAGCCTTTGTGCTGCAGGGCTCAACCATCTCCAATAGCTTTCTATGAGCCATGACATTTTTCAGCTTTATTGACACCAGTGGGAATACATGTCTCCTGGAATTCATTCTTCAGCTTAACTCTGCAGCATGCAGGGTTGTACATACAGGCTCAAAACAAATCCATCCTCAGCCCAAGCAGGGTTGAGGCTCAAGCCTGGCAGCAATTTGAGCATGAGATTTTAGCTGTAACTTGGAGTGGATTTGCTTTCATTGACTTGTTCTGGGCATGTATTTCACACAGGGTTGTTATTTTTTAAATACTCATATTCATATTTACATTGAAGTATCTACTATAATATGAGGGCTTTGCAATATAGCATGTTCCATTTATTACACTTGCAGTCTTAAAAATGCCCTTTATTGTATACTATGCAGATCTGTCATAAGTTTTCAAGACTTGCTTTCAGTTTTCTGTCATATTTATTTATATATTTATATATATATATATAAATTATATATTTAAGGCCAGTAATTAAGCTGAAATTGAGAATAATTTGGCTTTTACAAATATAAGAAAGAATTCATAACAGCTGAAATTCTACCTGTAATATTCACTATGTTCTTAAAACTCTAACAATACAAGGCTACAGTAAGTTTCTTTCCTCTCACAGCTGTTACATTCACCACATAGAAGAGGTGCCAGTGTATTTACCCAGGGAAACCGGAATGCAGTTTACATGGAAAAACTTTTTTTTTCTCCATTTATGAGGCTGGACTTGTTTCACTACCAACAATAGTTTAAAAACATCATCCTTTGAGTTTTGCATAACTCAAAGTTTAATAGAGTTGGATGCTGTTCCAACCAGAATTTCCACAATTAAACTAACATTATATACATAATACATACAACTGAGCATAAAATTATGTATAAACATGTTAACTATACCTATTTAATGTGCTAATTAAAGACATGACTTCGTGACATCTAAGTAGTCCCTATCTGCAAGGGCTGTCCTATCCTCTTGAACCCAAATTACTGCCTAAGGAAAAATCCTGCGACTGGAGGTTGCTGACACAGACTGGAAGGATCTCTGTGCAGCTCAGTGGGTCACAGCCTGTGCTCTGGTTCTTCTTGATACTACATCAAAGGCTGCAATTAACATCTGCAGAAAAACGTGACTGTTTGGCTGAGCAGAAAGCCCTTAAGTAAACCCATTCAGACAACAGTACTGATTTCTTTTTCCTACCCAGGTTCTCACTTGTTGCTTCCTAGCATCTGATCTTTCTGAATTCTGAAGTAAATGTCCCTCCGCAGAGCAGGGTGAGGTTCACAATGACCAGGCAACACCGTATTCCTTTTGCTCCTAACATGTTAATTGGATCAGAACAAATTTGTAGGGTTTTGCTGTTTTGTTTTCAACACTCTTCATTTCAAAAGAGCTACACTGCTTTGTTGGAAGCCTAAACAACTTGTTGCTTGGTTGCACTTCATTCGAGTTAAACTCCTCATACTGCACTGCAAGGAAATGAGAGAGTTGTGGTCACAAAGGAAGCAGCAGAGCTCTGGGGCTTCCTGACACTTTGTAAGGAGAGGGGACCTGTAAGTGTATGAAGAACACACAACACCCCATCAACTCCATGCAACGCTTGACCTGTCTGCACCACACACACACGTCCCCAGCCATCCCTCCACTATAAAGCCCATCCCTACAAACTCACTCTTGCCCCCTCACCTCCTAATGCTGCTGGTTCCTAACAATGCCGTGTCTATCTGTGTACTGGACATGTCCAAGTCCAGCTCACAGACCACCCACCACCACGGTCACCATCGCTTTTTACATTCCCTTCCCCAGCACCCACCCTGCCCCACCTTGGCATAGCAGAAAGAGATGAGCAGCAGGGGGAGAAGATAGCCGAAAACAAACGTGCAGACCACGTAGACCTTCTTGTGGCGTGGATTGGGCCAGTGCTCCCAGCAGAAGGTCTGGTCGCTGCCGTTGCGGTGGAAGAGGCGCTGGTGATGAGCCACTGGTGAGGCCATGGCAAAGGAGAGAGCCCAGATGAGCCCAACGCCCAGCAGCGCGTTGCGGGGGACGCGCAGGGTGGAGGAGCGCCGCGAGTGCACGATGGCCACATAGCGGTCCACGGACATGGCCGAGAGTGTGAAGATGCTCACCAACATGGAGACGGTGAAGAAGTAATGGATGAACTTGCAGATGAAGGCACCCAGCACCCAGGTAGGCAGCACGTAGACTGTGGATTGGAAGGGGATGCAGAAGAGCAGGTAGGCCAGGTCGGCAATACTCAGGTTGAGGATGAAGATGTTGGTGGTGCTGCGACGCTTGCCTGGCTTGCTGCGAGCCAGCACCGTAATCACCAGCGAGTTGCCCAGCACCCCCAGGGTGAAGATCAAGCCGAAGACGATCAGAGTGATGAAGTTCTCGATGCCGATGCCGAAGAGGGGCTTCCCCTCCGCGTCAGGGAGCCCGGAAGCGTTGAACTCCCCGCGGGGCACCTCTGCCCCCTCCTGGGACCGGTTGAGGGGCTCCCCTGGCTCCATCCTCTCCCGTTGACGCCAAGCAAAGTTTCCGCTGGTGGAAGGCGGAGGCAAAGCCCCGCGATAGGTGGTGGCCGCCCCTGCCAGCTCCGGGCAGGGTGGATGGTTAGAGGGGTGGAAGAGGAGGAGGAGAAAGAGGAGGAGGAGGAGGAAGGCACCGCAGCCACCCAACGTGAGCAGCCGGGTGTGGAGGAGGCTCGGCAGCCCCGGGCAAGCTGCGCGCTCCGCTCCGCTCCGCTCCGCCTCTGTCAGGCTTACTCCGGCTCCCGTTGCGCCTGCAGGTCGGGAAAGAGGGGAGCAGAAGGGTTTCTTTTTTTCCCGATTTAACCGGTAATCGGCTTCGCAGGGCAACCACCTGGGAGAACTTCTTTCTGCCGCTTGTGCCGGCTGGAGCGGCGGCTGGCAGGGCTGTGGGAGCTCTGCATCGAACTCCGACAAGTGGAGGGCAGTGGAAGCTCGGACGGATTACTCAGAGCCCAGTCTCTCTGTTTTCACCTCCCTCGCTATTAAATGTTCCGTCATGGGCTGTAGCTCGCAGGGCAAAAAGTGGCAGGCGCTGTTACTTCATACAAGCAAATAAAAGACCACCTTTCACGTACCAATCATGAAGAACGCGTTCCCAAAGCTCCCCGTTGCTCTGCTCTGTGCCCTGTTAGTCAGCGATGAGCTCAGTCGGGCAGCAGCAGGGAGCTCTTCCAAGGACCAAAATTAGAGCGTCGAAACAGTGGTTCTTCTCAGAGCTGGACAGAACTCAGAGCCTCCCGCAGGCTGTGTGTATGAGTTCACGTAAATACTCTCACACACGTGTGCCTTGCCAATAAAGCAGGATTGCTGGAGAGTTCTTGAAACGTTTTCTATCTGTGCACTACATCTGATGATAGCATTGCTTCATCTCTCTTCTCAAGGGATGAAACTGCGAATTGTTGCAAATCCCCTCCACCCATGTGGAGGTAAGGGCTGGGAGAGCCATGTCTTTCTTCAGATAGCTCTTTTCCATGTCCTATGTACTTGAGAGCTCAGTGCCAATTTGCAGCACCTTTCACTCAGGGAGCAGTGGGGACAAAGAGAACTGGTTGTTCAGATGTGTTTCCTTAGGACAAAGCTTTTGTTTGCTTCTCTGTGTTCCACAGTTTAATGTGTTGGTTGTTGTTTTTTTTTTTCCTCACCTTTCCTTTTGCTGCTTGTATTAAGACAACCTTTTGTCAGCTGTGCATCAGCTGACTGTAGAGCCATTGACTTCTGCAGATCTAGATGGGAATTAATCCTACTTATCATCTGGTGCATTATGTCCAAAGCGTAACATTATGGGAGAGCACAATTCAGTTTCTATGGATTTCAATGGATTTAGATTGAACTGCTTCCTGTATTCATCATGACTCAGTTTCAAAGTTACAGATAACTAAAAATAAACCACTGAAGATTCCTAAGAGATTTGAGGGTTCTTTTGTTGCTGTTTTTTGTTGTTGTTTTGTTTATAGTGTGCATACTTTACCACTATATTGACATGTTCAGTTACTACTTGGTCCTACTACTGTGTACTTCTGTAAGGGATTTGAGAACAGGTGTTAAACATTTTTAGAATATACCAGATACAGTGGACTTATCAGAAATACTCCAAGTATGTGATAAAAAGATTGAAGCATACACAGATTCCTTTAGGGTTACTGACATCTATGTTTATTGCTATAATTTCCTTTATTTGAGATAGAAGAAGCTGATGTTTTGCTTTTGAATCACAGAATATCCTGAGTTGGAAGACATCTACAAGTGTCATGGAGTCCATCTTCTGGCTCTACGTGAATCAAACAAAATTCAAACCGTATGCCTGAGAGCAGTGTCCAAACTCTCTTTGAACTCCAGCAGCTTGGGGCTGTGCCCAGCCCTGGGCAGCCTGTTCCATGCCCACCACCATCTGGTGCAGCCCCAGCTTCCCCTTCCCTGACACAGCTCCATGCCATTCCCTCGGTTTAATCATGTCGTGTTGCCAGACATCAACCTTTTCTAGGATATCAGGAGTGAAACCTTAGCCTTGCTGAAGCCAGTGCTAATATTGCATTAATTGTAACTCTCCATCTGAAATGTTTCATTAGTCCTCATTGCTCAGGCTTTCTTCTATTTCTCAGGAAATATTTTCCTTTGAATGATATTGTCTGAATGATGACCAAAGTATATCAGATTGTGGTATTGGACAAATGAGCAGGGAAAATGGATACAGAAACAAAATCAGTTTTAAAAGAAAGCAATCTGAAAATTGCATTAGTGGGCTGGACTGGAGTGTTGGCTCTATTAGTTTCCTGAGATGTTTTATTGTCAGTTTTGCAGCTCAAGCTCTGCTTTACTTTTATGCCTGTATAACACATATAGAAACATACACAGTATTATAAGGCCTCAGCTGAGCATGAGGAAAAAGAAAAAAGCAGCAAGCCAAACAACAGAGAGCACAACCATGTTGTAGCTTTTCTTTCATAGGAAAGAAGTTGATAGACCCATAGGCTTTTATATCAGTAAAGTTCACGTGTTGACAGAACCCATGATTCCTGTTAAAACTGATGGAAACAAGCAGGTGTTGACATTTCAATCCATCGTTATTATCTAGATGGAGTAAACAGCCAAAACAACAGAAAGTTCTAAAGGGAAAGTTCTTATGAAGTCAGTACAAATAATTTTATAATCAAATTTAAAAACTATCTGGGCAAGTGGGAGAAGAAAAAATCGGTACAAAACGTACATCACACTACAGGAAAATAATTTCCATCTCTTTACAATAGAGATCTCTTAAGCATGTCATTTATGCATTTCCTTGATTCTAGTTTTATTGAATCTAATCCTGAACACAAAAAGATCTCATTTTGTAAAAAATAGACCAGCTTATGAACTTCAGAAAGAGCAAAGCTTGATGCTTTGGGTAGATAACAGGAAATTAAATGCAATTTTCTTATGCCTGTGGACAGCATCTTCAGTATTCTTTGTCAGCTCCCCAGTTTTTCGTAGTAATTAGTAGTAAAAATAATGCAAGGAATCTATAAGGGGGATGGGAACTTGAGTACCTCTTGAAGTCCAGGCTTACATGTTTACTCCTTAATGTATAATCAGGAAGGTAATACTGATAGGAAACATCACAAAAATGTCTTCCTTTCACTCACTTTAGTGATTGGTTTGGAAACGTGGTTTTTCATATGGCTCTGATAATAAAAATATTTGAATTACATTGGTAAATTTTTATGCCAGAAAAGAGAACTCACAATTTAACAATCCAACTAATGGATTTAAAACATTCATTACTGCTATAGTCTACGTCACTACAAAAACTACATACATAAAACATATAATCACAATAATGTCACTAAAGTCCATTTATATTTGAGAATGAATATTTAGCTAGCACCTCCTAAATGTTTAGTTAGCATAGAAAGAATAAATAGTTAACACACATTTCCTGCTGGGTTTTAGTTACATTCCAGCTTGTCCATTTTAGGACACAATGAGTAAGTGAGGTGCAAAAATTGGAAGCTGATTATTCTTACTGATACACAATTTTCTGTTTTTATATTGTGTATCATAGAATACGATGTAAATAATAGAGCATACAACCTTTTGTCAGAAAATGTGTTTCAGTAAAATCTATTTACTTCCATATAATTATTTTTTTTTTAAATTTGCCTGGAGTTGAGCTGGAGTTAGGCTTCAAGCCTCTAAACTGCACAGCAGTGTCGATATTGTTTGCATTCCACTCTACTGTACTCTGCTCCATGATTTGTTTATAAAACACAAAGCTGTAAAAAGGCTGATTTTCAAGACTAATTTTTTTTTTTTTCAAATTCTGAAACAAACTCAGAAACAATAATCACCCCAATCGTACCCCATTACTTCTGTTTACCACAGTTCCTGGAGTAGAAATTCAGCAGAAATGAACTTTAAATATCATTCAAAAGCTGAGCTAAAAGTTCATGATTCAAAAGTCACCTTTGACTCACCAGTTATACAGAAAATTCAAGTACTTACTGGCATTAACTTGCCTTCTCTATGTATTCTTGGGAACAGTGTAACCCTGAGGTCACAGATGTCAGTACATTTGAATTTCCGTAGTGGAGATGTGTCAGTAATAAACTGAAGTTTATTGCTCCTGACATTTAGAAGGTAGCAAACATCTGTCCCTATTCATCTGAGATATTGCTGTTCTATCACAGACTTTGTGCTGAATTGTTTTCTCCTGGTTCTCTCTTCTAGTTCTTAAATTGTTCTCAAAGAGCCTTTAGAGTATAGACATTCAAAATCAGGGAATTAACTTTGAAATGATAATTTCTAAAACCCTTTAGTTTTAAAATAAGTATTCTAAATATTCTATTTAAAAATTAAATATTTATCCAGTGGTTTGTTTGTTTTTGGTTTTTTTTCTGTAAAAATGATGAGTACTAAGCAGCATATTCCAGCCACATGCTCTCTTTTCGTAGCTGATGAAGACGGTTCCTTGCTTTATTTTGCTTGATTTGTGACAATTGCTCCATGGGATGCTTCCTAATATAGGAAGCCCAAGTGCCAAAGTGACTTGCTTGGGTGTAAATACACAACTGTGCTTCATCTAAAACAGAGAGGATCAATTACTTTGATGAGCACTTGTAACAGAGCACAACAGAGCAAGTACTGCAGACTTGGAGGAGTGCAGCAGGCACCCTGGCCATGGGCAGAGCATATACAAGAGTCATTTCAGTGGACCCTTCAAGCAGCTGCTTAAGATGGACACCTGACAGGTTTGAAGTAACAGAGGAAGAATAGACACTGCTAAGTTCTGCAAAATCAACTTCATGTCCTCATGTAGGAAATACAGGTTAGAAAAGATACTTCAGTCGTATGGAAAACACCGAAGCTAACTATATTTAAGGAGATAGTAGTGGAAAGAAATCACTTGGAAAGTAAGGCTGCTGCAGCAGCAGCAGTGTTCTGCTGTTAGAGCAACCAAAGGGCTGCAGGCTGCTTTGCACAGGGTCAGTTCAGGGCAAAGATGCTAGTAAAAAGAGCAGGACCCCAGGGGATCTTGGACAGCACATCTGTGCTTTGGGCAAAGAGAGAAAACTGGCACGTAGGAGCACATTAATTGAGAGAGAGAGGGTGAGCCTCAGAAAGAGCTCTGGTGTCAGCTGCAGCCTGGCCTTGCCATCACCCCTGGCTTATGCTCAAGAGAAGCAAAATCCAATTTGCTAGCATTGCTGAAGAGCCTGGAGGTAGCTGCAAGTACAAGTCTGCAAGAAAAATAATAGGCATCATGCAGACATAGCATCACCAAATATGTAAACTGTGTGATTCTGATTGTTCTCGGATATTGAAAACTTGTTATATGGATGCCTATATAAGCAGAGCATTATGGTTTCCATAAAATGGCGCAACTATTCTTCTATGGCTATGGAAGGTGCAGCAGGGAAGAGCAGGCTTTTTTGTAGCCAAAATCTGCTAGAGCCTTCGCTGTTTCTTTTACAGCAGACTGTGATCATATGAACAGTGAGGCAGGAACAGAGAGCCTTAAGGCTTTTTAATGGTCTCCATTAAAATTACTATCACAAACAGATTCTGAATGCTTTATAAGACAATGCCAATGGCATTGACATCCTAGCTTGTTTCAGAAATAGTGCAGGCAGCAGGAGCAGGGAAGTGATCAACCCTCTGTACTCAGCACTGGTGAGTCTGCACTTCAGTGCTGTGTTCAGTTTTGGGCTCCTCGCTACAAGAAAGACATTGGGGTCCTAGAGCGTGTCCAGAGAAGGGCAGTGAAGTTGTGAAAGGTCTGGAGCACAAGTGTTATGGGGAGCAGCTGAGAGAAACGTGATTGTTCAGTCTGGAGAAGAGAAGGGTGGGGGGAGACCGTATTGCTCTCTACGAAGACCTGAAAGGAGATTGTCATGAAGTGGGGATCAGCCTCTTCTCCTGGGTAACAGCAGTAGAATGAGAGAAAATGGCCTTAAGTTTACCACAGAAGGTTCAGGTTGGATATTAGGAAAGCTTCTCTGAAAGAACAG